CCACCCACCCCCCCATCCATCTATCTATTCCAAACTTTCCATCCCAGCCATCTATCCATTTCTTCTCATCCACCAGTCATCTTGTTCTCTTTTTCATCATTTCCCAAATTTCATCCATTTATTCTCCCCATTTCTAAGATCTTCAAATCTTCTTCATCCAGGGCATTCATCTTGGCAAGCCAGATTACTGTCCTGACTACATCTACAACATCATGAAGGACTGCTGGGCTAAAGATCCTCGCGATCGGCCAGACTTCGAGGATATTCAAAAACGTCTTCGGGATCCGTTCGGGAATTACGACATGCCAAAATCCAACCCAGACTCCCTGAATGAGCAAAGCGATGAAGGTAGCCATGGTGACGAGAAAGATCGAGTTGATGCGGGCAGTCCCGGTAGGTCGTCTTGGTGTTCTTCATTATGAACCTTTGGGCTGATATAAGCTTGGGCATAGATCCCAACTCACAGATAGACTTTTGCAGAGTCTTTGTCTCTATATTATTTCACGTGCATTGACTAAAACACAGGCAGCCCAACCATGATCACAAGCGCTGGACGAAGGACTTTTCAAACTTGTTTCCCAAAAATTTTAGCAACCCTAAAAGAAAAAAATGTAAAAATTCAGCGCGCGCTACAGAAATACACGCTATTTTTGGCGCGAAAAGTTGACTTCTCGCGACTTCGACCCTTTTTCACCCACTTCCTTCGCTCGGTTACTCCGTGAGTTTCAGAAAGTTCTGCTTGGAGCAATTCAAGTCTAACTCACAGATTCAATCCTAAAACAACCTTTGGTCTGAAGTTGCTTCGTGGTTTGATATAAAAAAATAGAGGTTTTGACCGCGTGACGACGGCCATGTTAGATATTAGGAACAATACAATCGTTTTACATGAGAAAGAATTAGATTTCTGAGAGCAAAGGGATTTTATTGTTCTGCCATCTAACCACAGGCAGTCCAAGCTGTATTATTGGCGTGTGCACGTGATGGTGCAAAACCTCTAATGGAAGTTTTTATAGCAACATGGATAAGAGGGAAGGCAAGATAAGTGACTTAGAGCGCTTGTCGTACATCACTAGGAACCATTAATTTAATTCAGTTCACATCGACTTAAATAAAACGCAATCTTTAATTGTCAGATTTTGGAAACTACGACGTCCCAAGAAGCCCCTTATCCAGTAGGGACGATATCGACAAAGAAGACAAGGATGTCCCTAAAGGAGACAGTGAATTTGGTGCCTACGATGTCCCTAAGGACAATGAATTTGGTGCCTACGATGTCCCTAAGGACAATGAATTTGGTGCCTACGATGTCCCTAAGGACAATAAATTTGGTGCATATGATGTTCCTAAAGACAACGAATTTGGTGCCTACGATGTCCCTAAAGACGAATTTGGTGCCTACGATGTCCCTAAAGATGAATTTGGGGCTTACGATGTTCCGAGATCTCCACCAAATGGTGGTGGATATCTCCGTGATCGACATGAAGAAGACGAAAGTGATAATGAAGGACCTAACACATGGGATCCTACAGATAAAAAAAGATCTACGATATCTCTGCCCGTTGAAAATTCTATAGAAGTCTAGAACTTTATTCTTAACGACTGTGACGTCATCTTCTGTTCCTGCATTCCTGTCGGTCTGCTAGGAGAAACGCGCGTGCGTGAAAAAGTGGCGGGAAAATAGTAAACGCGTGGTTCATCAAAAACTTCGAAGATTCATACATTCGTAGAATAGGTTCACTACTAAGATTGTAATATTGACTTCTCAAAATTTCAGTTATTTTAGGGGGTATATCTTGGGGGGAGGGGGTGGATAGAAAAGGGAGGGGAGGGAGGGGAGGGAGGAATGATTTGTTGAGGACAGTGAAAAATGACCCCAAGAGTTTTGCAACCTTGTTACCATGAGAAATTATAACAGAATTTTTTATTAATACTAAACATTCTTGTACAATAACAGGACTCTTATTCCATTCTTCCATAAGGAAACATTTTAGGGTATTTTTAGATAAAAGTGACCATATATTATACTTGGTTATGTGGAAGGTTTGTAAAACGATGGGTATATACCGGGAACTTTTCATTCAAGTCACTTCTCAAAAGAAGGGACACGAGAAACAGGCATCTTACAGCACATCACAAAGAACCTTGGGTACACGAAAATATTTGTGGAATGTACGTTTTTCGTACGTCTAGTAGCCAATCAAACAGTAACAGGATTTGTATTCAACTCTCGATGATTGGTTAATTATTTTTTAATCGTATGCAGTTATTAAAGTTCTGGCTATGGGCCTTACTCAAGCGGCAGCCACGTTTATTCTCATGCGAATATAAACCTTTGTTCAACCCGCATAAATCTATTCTCAAGCACTTGAATGCGAGGCGAAGCGCATGGTAGAATCTATTGTTGCAGTCGACATGGCTGCTGCTTGAACAAGGCCCAATTACTTCAAAATCTCTAAATTTTGGGTTTGGACTATTTTTCTTAAATAAAATAAAGCTGGGAAAACTAAATTTGTTACAAGTTGTTATTTTCAATGTTATTTTTATGGCTTCCCATGTCAAACAGGATGGACATTGGGCATTTTATTTCTTTTTATAGCTCACATTAGTCTACATTGCAAATAGTGTTTTTTTGTGGATGGAAAGAGCGCAGCATATATTTTTGATCCAGTCCAAGGACTTGAACAAAATTAATTCACTCCTTGTACTTCAGCCCCAGCTCTTCCCTGCTTCCCTGCTATCAAAATCCTCCCCGGCTTTAGATTTCACAGGACTTTACCAGGTTTCAAGTAACAAAAAAATAGCCTATTGATTGGCTGGTTTCCGCGTGAATAATTAATGAGTATGAGAAGAGCATATATAGTATCATTTCTTTCTAACAGAAAAATTGTGCTATTTTGAAAGTCAGTTTGACTAAAATATTCTGTGCAAATCTCATGCATAATAGTGACATGAATAAATTATCTCTGTGATTGACGTCTGAAGCCACTAAAATGGATGGAGGTTGAACTCAGATAAAATTTTTATTTTTGCTTTGAAAGAGCGCGCCATGTTTTAAAAAGGGTTTAGCGGAGGATTTATTATTTTAACGAATTTTCAAGTCTATTTTTAAAGTGTTTTGAACAAAATGAGATTCATTTTAAAGATGATTCATTGCGCATATCTCATATGAAGTTAGTTAAATTATCTCCGTGATTGACGTCTGAAGCCAATAAAGTGTTTGAAGGTTGAGCTTATTTTGTTTCCACTTTGAAAGAGCGCGGTCTTGTTTCAAAGTGTCCGGCAAGCTTAGCCTTTATTTAATTTAGACAAATTTTCAGGCCTATTTAATTCGAATGAAGTGTTTTGACCAAAATATGCTTAGTTTTGACGATTCTGTTGAAATAAAAGGTTCGTCATACGAGCGATCGCTGTGTTTTACACCAATTTTGTATAGTCACGCGACAAACACAGCTGCAAAAGACATGAAAAACTTTGTTGGAAATTTCCTAAACGGAAGCCCAAAACCCAGACAAGGTCGCATAACTTTGAAAATGGGTGTAAGGTGCACCCCTACCATAGATACGACCCCTGCACCCCTCCCCAAGATATCGATCTGCCCCTGTGTTTAAGGTTAACATGCGGCAATTCATATTCTATTTGCAGCCGCAACTCGTCTTTCAGTTTTTTCCTCAGCAACTTATCTAACATAAATCTTTCGGTTTCTTAATGATTTGCAGCA